TAAAATCACTCAAGTAATACTGAAAATTATTCAAACACGAAAGAAAATAATTCAAGTTTGAGTGAAATTTTTTTTACTCAAACTTGAGCTATTTCCATATAACTCTTTCACTTAAGTGATTTTAACTCAAGAAGAGAAGGCCGCTTTTTTCTAGATAAAAGAGTTAAATAGCACTCAAGTCAAGTTATTTTCACTCTTTCATTTTAAGTGAGTTATGGTTCAACATAGAAACAGATATTTTGAGAATGGTGAATTATCATAAAGAATACTTCAAACATCTATGATTATTCGTTCACATATAAGTGAGAATAAGTCCAACTGGTTAGAGCTTTTCTTGAAAAAAAAATGAAGCAATTGCCAAAATTTGAGAAAGCGGATGTAAGAAAGTTGCTTAATCGATTTAAATTACATTTATTTTTGAAATTTGTACCAACAGACAATTGTTTAATTTTGCACTATTTGGCTTTCAGGTATTCTAATAAATTTGGATCAACACAAGCTTTTAAATTAATGTTTTCTCTTGTAAAACTAATAAGATAAAAATATCTATCAAGATTTAAGGAAAATCTAATTTTTGATTATCATGAAGATTCAAATCTAAAAATTCAAATTGAGTAATTATTTGGAATTTAATATTATTTACAATTATTTTATGTATAACAAAACTGTCTAAATGATAAAATATAAAACACAATGTATGAGATTTGATTTGATTTTTGAAAGTTTTAATTTTTATTTTTATATATTTTTGAAATCTTTAAAAGTGCACTGCAAAAATTCTCGGACCATATAAGCTACTGGCACTTAGGGTGCATCATTCGTAAAATAAATTTTTCACAGTGAAATATTATAGCGTAGATTTAACTGTAATGTTTATTTAATAAGAATGAGTGAGTGATTTTAACGGTAATTATTACTATAAGAAGTACGGCATATCAGATATCTTGTTCCATGACATGTTTCTGCAAAAATATACTTTTTACTGTAATTTTATCCTAACTTTTTGACAGAGTAGAAGGTTTCCTAATACTGGATAGTGTACTTTATACGAGTTCTATAATACAAATTTTTACAATCCTTGTCAAACATTAAAAGGGAAAACAGTGGTCGAAAATTGGTAATCAACCTTGGAAAAATAAAAGCGTAATCAAATTCTTTCAAAACCAGTTTTGTTGGTTCATGAAACTTGCAGATGCTTCTTACTCTCGTCTGACAATTTCTTCCTGTCTCGAACAGCAATTCAACAGGTTGGCTGGCTGGTTGGTTGTCGTGTTACATGGAAAATAAATCAATAAGACATTATATAGGACAGAAGGTCCTATACACTGTTTTAGCTATATCAAGGTAAATGTCCGAATAAATATTTTGCTGACAGTAACTAATCTGTTGTAAGATGGCAAAAAAGGCAAGACAAGAGAAAAAATGTTCAAGTGACAGTTCATTATAAAGACCAAGAGGATATCAGAGAAGTCCAGTTTCTGAAGCAACCCCTTTTAATGGCTATGGATGCGAATTTAACAGGATCAGATGAAATATGCATCACAAGTTATAGGCTAAATATCGATAATTATTTTAATTGCAGAATTCTTGTGTGAGCGTTTTTTCTATTTATTTTATTTTTCGACAGCGATTCAAAGAATGTGAATTAAAGGCATTTCTTACGGAACACCTTGAATATATCCTTTGAGGGACGAATATTTATTCCCATTTAAAAAAATTTAAATTATTAAATATCGGTGATGTTTCTAAAAATTGCATATATTTTGCATATATGTAAAATCGCATATATGTGTGATCCATCTGGCGAAAAGAGAATTGTATCGAAAAGAGCTTTTAGTAAAACAAAAACAAAAAATAAACAATGATAGTATTGCATTGTTTTCAACATCATGTCACTTCATCTCAGTGTCACTTAAAATAAAGAAGGAAGATGGGATATTTTGATACGCAGTGAATATGCTGTCAGTTGTCTTTGAATAGATTTTTCTGAGACAGTTTTGGTTTTCCTTATTTAAGCTTTCAAGCAGATGTGTTTGCTGTATCAATTGAAGCCGATTCAATTGTTACAACTTTCGCAGCTTCAAAATGGATTTCTTTTTCATATCACAAAATTTTTCATGTCAAGCAAAGAATATTCATGGATAAAGAACGACATATATTAGTGCCAAAATTTTCCTGGGACAAAACATCGTATAAACAAAAACTTACTGCGAAAAAATTGCTAGGGAGCAGCATACCGTATGAACGAAACTAAAATTAAAACAACAAATTTCAGTTTTTAGAATAAAATATATTCAAAATATTGACAATGCCAACAAATGCGCTAATTTTAGTACAAATGTCCTAATATAGAAAAAAGTCATCTATATTTTAAATTAATTTATTATTTCAATTTCGTAGTAAAAAACATTTCTAAGAGCGATGCAAGAAATATATAAACTGAAATTTCAAATAAGTTTTGAACTAATGATAACTAATATTCAGTTTTAATGATTCGTAGGCTTAAACTTTAATATTCTAATTAGTACTTATGAAAATTTAAGTTACGAAGTCAAACATAGAAACTGATTTTCTCTGAACAAACAAACCTCATTTTTCGATGGACTTTGCTTTCTGATCCTCAAACTGTAGAAGGTAGCCGCAGTCTGGAATATGGTTTCAATAATTTAGTTAGGAGAGCAGTCGGAAGTTAAAACCCTTACATGTTAATTTTATTACAGGCGTATTTCGCCTTATCTCGAAAATGGTTTAAACCATAGATTCTCATCCTTTTTAACTGCCCCCTAAGGAGCAGAAAAAATTTCATTGCCCCGCTTAACGTCTGGTTTCTTAGGACAAGCGCCTTATCTGGGCGTCAGCGGAACGTCAACATCCCGCTGATGCCAACAAAATACTGGTTTGTTAGCTCAAGGCCTGGTTTCTTAGAACTAGCGCCTTATCTGGGCGTCAGCGGAAAGTTGACGTAGAGCTGATGCCAAAATAATGCTTTTTTGTTAGTTCAGAGTGAGCAGTCGGTCCAACGCAGACATTATTTCTCATTGCGCATGCGTTAATAACGTAAACAAATATTTATTTTGAATTTGTATTGATTTTGTTATTGTCGACCAGTGTTTTAGAGAACAAATAATGACTTTGTCCAAGAAAAAACACATTATAGCTGAGCTAAATGAAGAGTGCTATGTTTAATGAAGAAGCTATGTTTAATGTCAAAATCAAAATCTTGGCTGATTTCAATGTGCTGTTGGATGTTGTCCGCCATTGCTTCTGTGGTTAACGTC